TCTTAAGGTCGGAGTTTAAGATGTCATGAATCTTTTAATTATTGCGTATTGTGGTGAATTATTGTGTATATATATATATATATATATATATATATATATATAACTATATATACGAGTGGTTTAGTTGGATCATGGACCGTGTTGGATGGACAGGCAACGCCCACGAAGCCTTTAGAATTCTGTGCCGCGGCAAAAGAGAGACCTGACAATCGTGACTAAATTAAATTAGCTCCCCTCGCGCAAGTATTAAGTTTAAAAGCAAAGAAACAGAAATCAATTCATAATATTTTTTTTATTAATCTTGCTACTCTTTTTTTTTAAACCCATACATAGATAGACTACTAACTGATGATTGGGGTGCATATATATTAGCACATCGTCTTTGTTTACTTCGGACGCGCCTATGTGAATCCGAAAAAAAAAACGTCGAGTTTTCTTAAAAACAAATCTACTAAAACAATCTTTTAATTTTTACTTCTGCACAATTAATCATCATTCCGGACAGTTTTATACCTGAACTTTATTTTCATAACTTTAAAATCCTTCATACATACGGGAATTTGGAGTATTAAGCAAAACCAAAATGCTTACAAAACCTATGAAAATATTGAAATCGATAATTTCACAATTTTCAACTGCTGCATTTGGAAATTTCAAAGTTTCAAACTGGACAAATTCGTCACTACCGGATAGGAATACTTATCAGGTTGAAAAATTACCGTGTAACTATAAGAATACCGTAAATTCCAAGGAGGAGTTCGAGAAATTAATCAGTATAAAATCCCGCAATGTCAAAAATCACATCGCTTGATTTGCCGTTGACACTGAGATCTCCCGTGTCTCGCGCGAGCGGCAGAGAATCCAACAAACGGGACTCGTTGTCTGTCCATCTATACACGGTCCACCGTTGGATCAAAATGGCTGTTATGAGGTTATTTTTCCGGGCCGAAGATCGCGAGGATAGGAAGTTGATTAAAATTAGATGACAATGTAGTATAAAATCAGAAAGCAAGTGAATTTGGAATTTAATAACTTTAAATAGCTCAATGATTATTTTATTTATGAAGTAAGCGAGAGAGAGAGAAATGGGGATTAAGATCTTTTCGACATAAACTAGGTAATGTCGGGACTAACATATGGTTCAATTTTATTTCTATGATTTGCTTGCGCGTAGGTGTCTTTAGCATGTGGATGGAAATCAGAGGACTCGGAGAAAGCCCACAAGTTAAACCCTTGAATGAAGTAAAGTAACGCAACTAAATAAAAATAGACAAAATACGGGCAATTTTGTTTTTGTATAGCACTTTATTTTTATATAGAACCTTAATGTGACGGGAGTGCCCTCAGAGAATATAACATAACATAAATTGGTGATACATAAAGCTATTAATACTTCCTACATAGTGTATTATAGAAATCGTATTTACAGCTATTGTAATACATATACAGTATAATACACACTGAGAGAGAGAGAGAGAGAGAGAGAGAGAGAGAGAGAGTTTGGGTACCTACTAACTACTACTACTAACATGGGCTCAGAGCGTTTTAACCTGCGATAGAGCATAGTGTCCCAACATTTGTTCTGATAACTTGTACATTGCTCAACAGGAACATTTCACCATCACAGCTGCGTCTCTACGACCTCGTCATATAAATGACACTGGAAAGGGTTATTTTACGTCTCCACGACCTCGTCATAAAATTGACATTGGGAAGGATTCTTTTGCGTGTTCCTTGATGTGTAAACTGGTGAAGCTAGGATTTTGGACGCTCTGAATGTATGAATCTTTAACTGTTTAGTAGGGAATCTACTGCTTTAACCACTCAATTACCATGACGTCAACATAATGACAGCGCAGCACTGGCGTTATTGTTTCAAATTCCCGCGGGGGGGGGGGGGCGAATGGTTAGCACGTACGCGCTGTTTCATATCAATGAGTCAACTGGTGAGGTTTAGAATCCCTGGTTGTGCGTGACAAGGAGTAGAGTCGCTTGTCCAACCTCGTGGGTTTTCTCCGGGTCCTCCGGTTTTCCGCCACTGCTAAAGACCCCTACGCGCAAGCGAATTATTGAAATAAAATTAAACCATATGTTAGTCCCAAAATGACCTAGTTTGAGTGGACGTTAAACCCCATTTCTCTCCCTCTTTCCGCTCTCTCTCTCTCTCTCTCTCCCTCTCTCAAATTCCCGCTTGTAAGTAACAAGTGGTAGGGTCGTCTGTCCAACCTCCTGAGTTTCCCCCGGGTCCTCTGCCCCCTCCCCTCATTGCTAAAGACGCCTACGCGCAATCGAATTAAAGAAATAAAATTGAACCCGAAATGACTTGTGTCGAGTGGACGTTAAGTCCCATTTCTTTCTCACACAGATGAAGAAGTGATAGGGATAGTTCAAATTGCAAATTTGGACAGACTTTATTCATACTAAAGGGACATACAGTTCATTGACTCAATGACAGACGTTAGAGCACCCACCCGGCGGCCACCCAAACACCCCTGTTTCTTCTGTACCTTAGTAAACAAACCATATAGGTCTATAACGGTGTTTATATTCTTCCACAATAGAAAGCTGGTACAAATCGTTTTGATCGTTAACCCGGTTGGAATTGTGTTTACATGTTTATAGGTTTACTTAATAAAAGGACATGTTATAGTATAATAAATAAAAAATAATTTGTTTTTTTTATATATATCATAGAAAGGTCAACTGTAACGATTAATTTATTTGTAATGTTTACAAAAGATATGTTTGTCGTTTAATATATTTCTATCACGGTGTCCGGGAACATTGACCATGACATTGACTCGGTAACTCAGTGACAAGATTTTCGAAAATAATTCTAATGGGATTTATGCAAGCGATCAAATTACCTCTAGAGCGGCGGTTGAATTGTTTTATATCATATTTAATTTGTAAATCACGCCGTCATCACGGATACTTTAATTAAACCGGAAATGCACACCACATAAGCTACATGTACACACCACTGTCAAACCCAAACTGTTTTCCAGTGGTAATGCGAACGCGTTCTGTGACCACCGCTCAGTATGGCTGATCTTTAAGGTCTCGTCCAGTAAAGTTTTACAGGTGACCCCCCATCATATGGCGTCGGTAACACATACTTTGTTTACATCTGACTTAGTAATACAAACTTGTCTGAACAGAATGGGCACCTTTGACCCATTTTACACCTCCGCAAGCTATTTATGTCCCAATTCACTCTATACAGGATATACTTCCAACACCTTCTTTCTAGTTCTTAGAAATTTAAAAAATTGTTTAAGAATTTAATTTGCAGACTGAAAACAAAACTAATAATAAAAAGAGTCAAATAATTCTACCCGATGTCACCACTCTCGGTGAATTTGGCGGCGAAGCGAATATTTACTACCGATCAGTTTGGGACAAAACTATAAACCCCTTAAACTTGCCTTAATCGCATATTCCACAAATTTGTGTTTGCAGTTTCCACTCGTTTCTAAAGATTTTAAAATATGTAACCGAAATTTAGAAACATAAACAAAAGTTAACTCTACTTTCTGGATGGATGTCCGGAAACACAAAGCCGTGTGTGAATTACAGCTTGATATATTTCCATCGTTCGACAAATAATTTAATTGGGATAAACGTATATGCAATTTCTCACTTCAATTTGAATTATCCCCCAAACTTCGTTTCTCGGAATGATTTGTAACTACAGTATGAGTGTATAGACGTCCCAAATAAATTAAAATGTGTAGAAAAGTAAGATGACTCAATTCCAATATGACAGTCTGCCATGATGACTAACTACTTTATTTATTAAAAATGTTCTTCCTGGGTCTAGTCTTCCCAATTTAAAGGGATGTGACTAGAAATACAAAATCTGCAGAGTCATGACAAATAAACATCATAATGACCAATAAACTTCGTAGCAAATACACTTCATGGTGAAAACTCGTCTTGACTTACATACGTCGTGATCAATAAACGCCATGATCAATAAACGCCATGACCAATAACCCCCAAGACCAATAAACGTCATGACTCATAAACGCCATGACCAATAAACGTCACGACCAGTAAACGTCATGACCAATAAACGTCATGACCAATAAACGTCATGACCAATAAATTGTAGTTGTTTTCAAGCAACGCTCGCCCAATGTGTCTAGGTGGATCAAAACGTGGATTTATGATGATTAAGAAAGTAAATATTGAGTTATATTTAACAGTGACAATTGGTGTTGAAAAACTCACATTTGGATTGTTTGGGTTCTCGTCTATGATGACCATTTAAATAGATATATAAATGGAATCAATATAGCATGACGTTTATTGACACATTACTTCCTGTTACTTCTCGTGTGATAATGATGCCCAGCAATGTAGCATGACGTTAAACACACATTATGCAAAAGCTAAATCTACCTATAGCAAGTCTTTCTTTTGGCCGGAAATGTTATCTAAATTATTAATTAGAAATTAATTAACGTTTCTAGACCATAATCAACTCCCGATGCTATCGCTAGCCTGCGATATTTAGCGGACTGGAATTCATTTTTTGAAAAATAATTAAACGTAAAAATGGATAATTGAGATTTTGTTTTTATTGTAGCGACTTTAGCAATGATGATTGAGGCCAGCCTAAAATTCAAAAGCTAATATCTCAACTCTGAGTGGGGCAATTTGACTGAAATGTTCAACATATTCTATTTACGTTATCTATTATTTAACTATTATTGCGAGGAATGTCAACTCTTTATATAATCTCTCATAATGCCCTTAGTCCCGAAATGACCTAGTTTGTGTCGAGTGGACGTTAAACCCCATCTCTCTCTCTCTCTCTCTCTCTCTCTCTCTCTCTCCCATAATGCCCCTTTAACTACACGTTACTTCATGCTAGTTCTCGTATATTAATGATGTCCTGCAACATAGCATGACGTTTATTAACACGTCACTTTCTGTTATTTCTAATCTCGCCTGTTGGTAATGTAAACATCTAACCATGTCATCTATTTCAGCTGTGGTTAATGCTGCGCCACCAACATGTACACCAGCAATTTCTGTAAACATAACGGTGACAGAACCCATAGACACGTTGATAGCAGATTTGAATTGCTCTGATCCGGACCCAGGAGATTCCGTAACTTTAAGCTTTCAAAGTGGCAACACGGATACACAGTTCAAAATAAGTGGAGGAAATATTCTGTTAGCTAAAACCTTTACAGAGCAAGTTACATATAAATATGTGGTAAGTAGTTAGCTATACATCTCATTTCAACCCTATCTGCATACATAGAATGGACTGTCTACTTGGAGAATACTCTGATTATTCTTCGAGGATGCCCAAACTATACTTCTAGAATGCCCAAACTATACTTCTAGAATGCTCTGACTACTTCGAGATTGCCCTGACTATACTTCGAGAATGTTATACTATACTTCAAGACTGCTTTGAGAATTCTTCTAGAATGGACTGTCTATACATCGAGAATGCTCTGACTATACTGCGAGAATGCTCTGGATGGGAGAGTCACGGTGGCTCAGTGACCATAACGTTGACTCGCAAACCTGGAGGCGTCGTTGGTCGAAAAAGATCATCTGTATTTTCCGGCTTGTCAGTGGTGTAGGGAAGGGACAATGTATAGTCTTTCAGATAGGACGAAAACCCGAGTACTCTGTACACATTAGTGTGCACGTAAAAGATCCCTTGGCAATTTGAATTCGAAATAATAGTAGGTCGTAGCGCTGTCCGGGCAAAATTTCCTTTATAGCACACTGCATGGTGTATACCCGTCTCAATTAGTCAATTCGGAGCACAGCATGGTTTTGACTAAAATCGTCCATTTAATAATTCAAAAGTGTCGGCCAACTAGTCTAGTGACAAAGTTAAAACATTTAGTTTAAAAATGAATTAAGAAATTTTACTTAGCTTTTTATTGTTTTTCTCCTTCCATACTGTTGCCTACTTTGTTTCATTTAGTCATGACGTGTATAAAACCGCATTTTAAACAAGCACGATCGTATTATGGACCAGGAACTGACCATGTTGATGGATGAAATCTAATTCACGAAATAGATGCAGAATTGTTCAAATAACAAGCATGCCAATTTTCATGTCGGTCGGGATTGAATAGCATCATACAAAGAAGAAGAAAAAGAAGATGAGTAGCGGTTAGCGAGCAGTTCCTGGTCCTAAAATACAAATATTTTATGGTTTGTTATTGTTGATATTGGTCTTAATCTGGTGCTTATTTCAAAATCATAAATAGAAAGTCCGGTGATTGATAACATCTCTCAATATTTCAGATGGTCATCCTTGCTACTGACACCAACAGCGAGACGGCAACAGTTTCACTGACGGTAGAGGTTGTTAATGTAAATAACAACCCACCTGTAATCACTGGATTACCAACAACTGCTATCAACGTCCTGGAATCAGATCCCATAGGAAAACTCATAACAACATGTACACATTCCGACCTAGACCCTAGCAACACTTTAGCTGGACAAACCAGAGTTGGCATTTCTAAACCATGTAAGTTTTACTCACGCACAAATCATATAGCCCCCCCCCCCCCAACCAACACACTCGCCATCTTTATAAACCAAGTACATTTTTTTTAAATCGGACGTAAGTTTTTTTTTTAGATTCCACCTAATCTATCTATATTTAAGCCATATAGTTTGAAATCATGTAGCCCCGCCCCCTCATATTGTAAATCCCCGCATAAATCATGTGCCCCTCCCCACTCTTATCTTTATAAGCTATACAAGTTTCATATCCGCCACACCCGCCTCCCCAACCCCTCTCTATATTTCAAAACCATATAAATCGAGCATAAATTGATTTTTTTTTGTCTTTTGTTTAACCCTCTGTTGTCCGAAAAAGTTCATTGGATATTTCCTGCGTAATTTCCCCCTTGTCAGTGGTGCAGGACAGACAGGGGACAGAGGGCCTGACAATGGACAACGTCAGAATGGACGAAAAACCTAGTTCCCATGTACACATTGGCGTGCACGTAAAATAACTCTTGGCAGTTGGAATTCGATATAAGAGAAGACTGTAGCGCCGCTGGCATGGTAAAATTTCCCTCATATCACACTGTATGGCATATGCCCCAGCTTCATTAGCCCAGTCGGAGATGAACAATAGGACGTTAAACCCCATTTCATTTCATTTGATTTATTTCAGTTGGAGCTGCAGCCCGGAAATGGGTGATAGACAGTCAATCATGTGAGCTATACATCAACACATTATTGGATTATGAAACTACTAAAGAGTATAAAGTGGATATATTAGTCTGGGACCTGGATCCTCACAATCCACGAACGACAACTCAACAAATAACCATTAATGTTCAAGATGTGAATGATAATCCACCGGTAGGTAAACACGACAGAGGGAACCTAGGATTGGCTGGCAAATGGCATTCAAGAAACGTAACTCTTATTAAAAATACAGTATTTGTTTTCCATAGAACTATTGTGTTTGATTTATTATATTCAAATTTCAGAGTTGTACGGAATATTTATTGGTTGCGCCGACGTTGTCAACAACGACGATAGGTGCGTCAATAACTAACATCAACTGTTCAGATCCAGATGTTGGTAACAGCGGCCTGGTGTCATTCCAACTCGACGGTAGGTAAACTTATTTTAATGTAAGATTTAGATAAAGAGCTGACAGTTCTGGCTATAATAGCTATATTAAAGGTGCATTTTGTAATATTTTGATAAAGAGCTGGCAGTTCTCGCTACAATAGTTATGTTAAAGGTGCATTTTGTAATATTTAGATAAAGAGCTGACGTCTCTCGCTATAATAGTTCAAAAATAGATATTGAAAATTTCATTCAAATTACTTTATTCTGAGCGAAGATTTGGCTGTTTGAAGATCTAGCTCTTGCATAAAGCATCTTTACTGTATTTCATAAGAATGCTGTAGATTGCAATGGGAGCCGTGGAGGCTCGGTAAGTAAGACGTTTGCTGGCTAACGTTGAATTCCCGTGTTCGATGAAAGTATTGTCCTAGAAAATTCAGTGATGCAGGGCGGGGTCCTGACAAGGGCAGTGCATAAAAACAGGGTCCTGTGTAGACTTTGGCGTGCGCCTAAAAGAACCCTTGACAGTTGGAACTGAATTGATGTCCAGGCAAGATTTCTGTCATATCGCAGTGTATAGCGATTTTGGTAAAGAAAAGTAGGACGTTAAACTCCAATTAATTCATTCATTCATTCATTTATCCTGTTTGTCATTTGTAAACGGGATTGACCTTTAGCATGGAACATTTGGCCGTTGCAATGGCAAAATCCACTACTATTTTAGGATTTTGTATTGATTAAAGTATATTTCAAGTTGATTGCCCTTTCAGAGTGATGGTAATTTATTTTATTGACTTTTCATAATTTCAGTTTCAAACAGTGCTACTGTTATCAATCTCTTTGATGTCGATAATACTGGAAAACTAACGCTGAAGTCAGCAATAACCGGTACCATGCCATTCTATGAAGTACTGATTAGAGTCCAAGATGCTGGTTCACCAAGTCTATTTACTCTAGTTTTGATACGAGTTGTCATTACTGACGTACCACAAGATGGCGTACAACCAGATAGTGCTTTCACAGGAGGTAAGACACCGTTTGAAATGTTCCAGAGTATGTCGTGTTTACGGTGTGAACTAGTAGCGCCGTCATCATGTTGTGTGTTTTACAGCAATGAGGGTGGCTCGGTAAGTAAGACGTTGGCGCGCTAACCTGAAAATCCCGTGTTCGGTGGGAAGGAAAGCCGAGGTCCAGTGTACACTTTGGCGTGCATTTAAAAGAACCCCTAAGTGTTGAAATAGTAGGCCGTAGCGCCACCGTCCGGGTCAAATTTCTATCATAGCACAATGTATGGCGCTTGCCCGTTTTCAATAGCCCAGTCGGTGCAAAACAGTAGGACTTTTCAAAATTTAGAAAACATAGGAATGCTACCTTGTGAAATGCCGTTTATTATAGGCACAAACAACGGCGACAAAATTCACGTTCGCCATCCACGAACGCAAACATTTTAACGATATGGCAAACATTGTCTAATTCATTTAATAACTCAGCCCTCAGATGCTCTATAGGTTCATTATGGGCTTGACATAAATGTCGAATTAATAGTTTATATAACATTTGATTAAGCCACAAAACGGCCCGCAATAGACAGATTTAGTTCATACATAATGCATCTGTAATGTTTATATTTAGAGTATTTCTACAGTGTCATATAATATATTATATACCTCAAACGGTTATATTAAGAGTAGTGTCATATTATATACCAAAACGGTTATATTTAGAGTAGTGTTAGAGTGTCATATGATATTATAAAATTCAAACGATTATATTTAGAGTAATATTATATTATATTATATTTTAGATTGTTTGACATTAATCGTTATATTAAGATTATATGATATGAACCGTTATATTTTAAATTATATGATATAAACGGTTGTATTTAGATTATATGATATAAAAGGTTGTATATTATATAAACGGTTATATTTTAGAGTATATTATATAAACCGTTATATTATTTTGATTATATAAACCGTTATATTATTCAGATTATATGATATAAACGGTTATATTTTAGATTATATTATATAAACCGTTATATTAGATTATATAATATGAACCGTTATATTAGATTATATAATATGAACCGTTATATTAGATTATATAATATGAACCGTTATATTATTTAGATTATATGATATAAACCGTTATATTTTAGTATTACCGCCACCATCACCTGAACTACCTACTCCTTTAGATACCAGAAATAAACCTGCTTTACCTCCAACAGGTAAATGAAAAACATTATCATTCCTCTCGTTTCTGACCATCGTCTCATCTGTCTTCCTGTAAATTATGTTCTCGTCTTTTTATATCACGTAACCGCGGTGGCTGAATGAGTAAAACGATGGCTCGCTAGTCTGCAGATCTGGAATTCGCTCCCGGAGAAAGGTCCTCGTGATTTTTCAGCGAGGTTACCTTATCTGTGATGCAGGACGGTGGTCCCAACAAGCAAACCTGTCTTGTTGTTTGAATGGTACGAAAATCCAAGGTCCCGTGAGAGATGGGGTTTAACGTCCACTCGGTTGGGAAGAACGCTAGATGGAAGACGGTCTAGCACAAATGACGTCATAATGTGAATTGTGGGTTAGGGTAAGGTTTAGGGCTAGGCCTAGTGTTAGGTTTAGAGCTAGCCCTGTTTACATCTTGAGACCTTGACGAAATCTGCAGCAATAACCCTAACCCACAATCCACTTATGACGACGTCATATGTACTAGACCGTCTCCGATCTAGCGTTCCCCTGAGGTTGGACAGGCGACCCTAACCCTTGTCACGTACAACTGTGGAATTGAAACTACGCCACTTAACCCTATGACAGACCTTATGATTTCAAGCGCCCTATTTAGTTGGAAAAATGTGAATATAAACTATAAATACTGATGGTTTCAGGAGCTGCCAACATACCAGTCTGTGCCTTGTATGGTTTAAATATTGTTATACCAGAAACTACGGCAGTTGGTGAGACATTGTATAATTTAGGATGTACTGATCCAGATGGCGACACTTTAACCTATTCTATAGATAAAGGAGATGGCTACAGTAAATTCGATGTTTCTACCGGATCACTGAAAGTCATAAAAGAATTTAACGCGGATTTTACATTTAAATTTTCGGTAAGTAAAAGCAGAAATTGGGAGAGATGCACATAGTATTAACGGATCTGTGCACGGCCCCGGTTTCAGGTCCCGACTGAGCAATTTCAACCGGATTTTCCGAGATGGGCGCCCTTTGTATTTTGCAGGACGCAGGCCCCATCGTATGGGAAACCAAACAGCTCTTTATTAAATGTTCTTAATTCTTAGTTTTTAATTCATAGTCCTTAATTCTTATTTCTTCATTTGTTGTCGTATTTCGACATTTGTACACTAAAACTAACATTTGTATTTTAAAATCAATATTTGTTTCACAAATCAGACATTTGCCATATCACATTGTCATATCATATAAAGATAAAATTTATTTTAATGAATCAAAAAAATAAATCTGCATTTACATTTCATCATAGACATACAACGAAAAACAAATCTCGAACATAGAGAACTTGAAAATAGAGGTGTCGTGCACATCTGTCGAGGAAGCTCATTCCATAAATATGCACCATAAACTGGTAAAGAGTATTTTCCTTACAATTTATTATATCTGGGAACCGAAAGCAATGTTTTGCCAGAGAGGAGTAGTGAATGAAAAAAGTTCACGCATTCTGCTTTGGTCCTATCAGAACAACCTAACGTGTAGTAGGGATTATTGCTCTTTTTTTGTTACAGCTGTATATCACAGTCACCGACGACAGTCCTAGTAAATTAAGTACGATGATTATCATTGGCCTGTTTGTCACCAATGCTAACGATAATACACCAGTCATAAAGAATCTACCATCCATTATTGAAGTCAGTGAAGCGAAACCATTCGGTGCTGTGATCAACAAATGTATTATAAATGACAAGGACAACAAACATGGCGACCTACCGGGACAAACTCGGGTCGGATTGGCTAATCCAAGTAAGTCAATTGAATTCTTTATTTCATTAAGACCCGTTTTCCATGTACGCGTTTTCGGGGCGTTTCCGCGCGAATTTTCGCCAACGAAAAAGTCAGTCTTATGGAATTATAACACGGCCGTTTCCATGTAGCGAGCTAAAATCCCCGAAAACGCCAACATGGGTTTAAAGGCGCTAAATCGCTAATATTTGGGACCTAGAAATTGACACAAATAGATCACAACGCATATAATAATTTAATATGAATGTATCTAAACTGATTTAATTTCAATCTATTCCGTTGTTTACCCTAATTTCAAATCAGTTATGTTCAGCGAAATACGCGAGAAGTCTCAATCGAATGACAATCTCTAGCGTCAGGTTATTCCAGTCTACACTGATAGTATTTATTGCGCATGTTCTCCAGATAAAAATATGGCGTCACCGTTTGACATGCCTTGTGGAATATGTTTAGCCTCGTTCTTCGAGTCCCTTGTTACAAATGGTACTGAAACCCATTATGGTACACGATTCGTGTACTAATGTACACATTGGCGTGCACGTGAAAAAATCCCTTGGCAGTTGGAATTCGATATAATAGTGACAATATTTCCCTCATAGCCCACTGTATGATGTATGCTCATCTCCATTAGCCCAGTCGGAGTAGAATAATAATAATAAACCCCATTTCATTTCATTTCATTTTGCCATTGTAGATGACGCTGTAACGAAGAATTTCCTGATAGACAGTGTATCGTGTAATCTCTACGTTAATACTGAACTGGACTTCGAGACTACACCTAGTTATGTATTAACTCTGCTTGCCTGGGATCTTGATCAAACCGTCCCAAAAACTGCTACCAGTACGTTTACCGTAATTGTAACAGATGCCAACGATAACGCACCGGTATGTAATAACACCTTTCTTTTATCCGCCCATCTTATTATATCGACCACTTAACAACATTTTTTTGCCATCCAACTTGTTATAACGACCACGACCTTTAATCTATACGAAGCTGTTATAGCGACCACCAAAACCCAGCTTCACACACAATCCTTCCAGCTTGTTACATCGACCAGTTTCGGACTAACTTGTTATAACGGCCACCTGACTTCACCTACCACCCATCCAACTATTTATAACCAAACCAGTTATTGATTTGTTTTTATGTCGCTAAATGCCACTTAAAGAGTTTTTTATTATCCGTTTAACTTGTTTTAACGACCACCGAGCTACACATGTCACTTAACCAACCTGTTATAACGACCACTCAATTACACTTTTATCCAACCAACTTATTATAACGATCACTCAACTTATTATAACGATCACTCAACTTCACCTAGCATCCAACCAACTTATTATAACGACAACTCGATTTCACCTTGTATCAAACCAACTTATTATAACGACCACACAACTTCAGCCAGCATTCACTCAACGGTCATTCAGATGTTAAAAATCAGTAAAAGAAGCAAACCGTATGTCGTATCCACTGACATTTGGTTTATATACTTAAAGGACAATATTGGTGCCAGTCAATATCACATATGTGATAGAACTGGTTAAACAGGTTCCAAATATTATTTTATCACAGAGATCATTGCTACGATAGATGCGTAATCAATGCTTCAACAATCGGAAGTGACGAACGCAAAAGGAAAACATGAGTTATCCCTCTATATAACTGACTGAAGTCTTGATTATCCATTTATTGATTTAATTATTTTTTCAAAAAATGTATTCCAATCCGCTAAATATCGCAGGCTAGCGATGACATCGTGGGTTGAATATGGTCTGGGTAAGAAAACTAATGTCTAGTTAATAAATTAGATAACATTTCAGGCCCAAAGACAGTTCTGCAATAGGCAGATTTGGCTCTTGCATAATGTATGTTTCAAAAAATGAATTCCAATCCGTTAAATATCGCAGGCTAACAATAGCATCGGGAGTTGATTATGGTCTGGAAACATTAATTAATGTCTTATTAATAATTTAGATAACATTTCAGGCCCAAAGACAGTTCTGCAATAGGCAGATTTGGCTCTTGCATAATGTATGTTATCGATTAGGCCTATTGATCAGTCACCCGTCTCCAACCTATGCGAGACGAAGTCCTGTCACGATATCAATCCCGAATTTATCTCTTTAAATTGAAACAGGTTTGTCAAGCAACATATCCCGCCACTCTCGCAGAAGACGCCGCCATCGACACCCTTGTGAAAACTGTTGTGTGTACTGATGCCGATACCGGGGATAACCAGAAAGTGTATTTTAAAATGGACGGTCAGTTTGTAGTTTTTTTGTATTTGGTAGAATTTGAGAGAGAGAGAGAGAGAGAGAGAGAGAGAGAGAGAGAGAGATAGGTACCTACTAACTAGAACATGGGCTCCTGGGATAGAGAAGTTAGAAGGAAATAAATGGAGTTAACTTCATTTGTTTTGATCACCCGTACATTGCTCAACAGGAACATTTCACCATCACAGTGGCGTTTCTACGACCTACTGAAAAAGCTTCGTTTACGTCTCCACGACCTCGTCATTAAATTGACTCTGGAAAAGGTTCCTTTTTGACGTGTTCATTGATGTGTAAACTGGGAAAAGAGGATTTTGGACGCTCTGAATGTATGACATGAAATGCAATGGGGTTTAACGTCCTACATTTCGTCACCAATCAGGCTAATTTAGACGGGCATACATCATACAGATTACTACGAGGGTCAATTTCCCTGACAGCGGCGATACCGGCTAGTCTTATTAACTTCCATCTGCCAAGGGTTCTAATATGTGCAGGCTAGTGTGTACACGGGACCTCGGTTTTTTGTCCCATTCGAACGACTTTACGTAGTCCTTTGCCAGACCCTTTTTTCTGCATCACATACAAGGGGGAACAACATCGGGAAATCCCGATGAACTTTCTTGGATCGAACACAAGACCCCTGTCTTACCTCATGTAGCCTCCTTATTACATGGCGGTGGTGTAGGGGGTTTCTTTTTACGAAAACGTCTATCAGCTGTTACGATTAATGTATAGTCGTTATGGTGGGACGACATAAACGATTCTAACAATGTATTATTTCTATATTTACAGAAAGTAACACGGCTCTGGTGAAGGCAAGTTTTGATGTAAGTGGCACGAGGGGTGATGTAACACTACAGGCTAGTTTAGATTACGAAACGCAGACTTCCCACGAGGTTAAAATTATCGCGTACGATGGTGGTAGTCCAAGTCTCAGTTTTACATCAACTATACAAGTTACTGTAACGGACGTGAATGACGGAACAGCAACACAGACATATTGTAAGTTGAATATTTGGGTAAGGGTTAGTACCCGTAGTATTCCGTTTTAGATTGGCCCGAAATCTGTGGGATAGATCATGTCGACCAATTGAGGAGAGTCTCACTGTGTAAGTCACGGGTGTCGTGTTCAGGGCTGATGTGTAGGTCTCGGTTTCACAAAACATTCTCAGACGTAAGTTAAGAATTAACTGCCAATCACTGTTTATCAGAAATATCTTTAATCCAGAAATTTGCAGATAGTTTCTTATTGGTGTATTTGATACATTAAAACAACAAACGTTTTATAAATGGCTATATTTTAGTTGAAATAAGGCGAAGAATTTTGAGTAAGTTCTTAACTTAAGATTCAGAATGTTTTGTGAAACCGAGGCCCGTACACCATTAATTTACCCATTCACTTTAATGTTAAATCTCTTCTCTTTGTCCGGCTCTAACCTTTTCCCACATATTCGTGGGGTGAATGCCCTCTACCACAAATTGAAATCTTGAGATACACACACCGGAAGAAGTATACTTGTAAGCAAGCAACTGTCGGTCCTACATTTCAACGTAACCAATCTCTTAACTATCTTATCCTTCCGCCTCAGAATCATCACTATTGGCCAACATTGGCATACATTGTATATTCAAATCCCTTTCGTTGATTCTACACCAAAAACGTTAACAAAAAATCGCCATGAAAAAGGGGAAAGGGGGAGAAAGACTATTAATAGGGGTTGCACTAGATTTAGTAGGAATTATTAGTGGCCCGCGTCCAACAATCGGTACACCTCGGTACCCTACATCGAATCCTCCGGATAAATCTATTTGTTAGGGTAGGCATTGGGAATAGGTCCAGGGTTCTACATTTTGAGAACTACTTTCTAAAAGCGGCAACTCTTTCTAACAGTAAACCAGCAGCCACGTCGCATTGCCGCCGAGTAATATTGAGTCGTGTGGAACATGCTAGAGTCGATTTGTAGCATATCTGACTCACGGTAAATGTTTGACACTGGTTGAGCATTATGTTTATAATTATAATCTCACTTAGCCACTGAGTCTATCACCCAGAAATTTATAGGCATAATGAACCATACTAACCTACTGTAGGAGACTCTAATTAACAGAGACTCTATATTATGATTCCCGTCTTCGAAAATGGTCTTCCAGTTATAAGATCACTTTACGAGACAAGCCCTTCCTCATCTCCAAATGACCGAGTTACGTGGTGTTCTCGTAACTCAATTTGTATTGGTATTATCAAATATGTAAATATATATTACAGCCGCTCCTACATACACGTCTAAACCGGATGTGGTGGTCAATCTCGAACAACTGGGTCCTGGTGGAGCAGCCAGTTATAAGTTTACTTGTGCTTTCCCCCTGGATACAAATCCTCTCCACTACCTGGTCAAGTGGTTTATTGATGGTTACCCAGTCTATTCAACTCCCAGGATACCCAATACAGCAGATGTTCAGGATCTGACGAAACTAACAGAGGCTAAGCTAGCGGAGCTTGGGGTCACAACTGTCGGGTTCAGTGTAAGTATACAAGTCAACATTCTGCTTTATAGAACTGACAAGGAGTAGGGTCACCTGTCCAACCTCGTGGGATTTCGCCGAATCCTCCGGTTTCTTCCCACTGCTAAAGACCCCTACTCGCAAGCGAATGTATTATTGAAATAAAATTGAACCATATGTTTGTGTCGAGTGGACGTTTAATCCCATTCCCTCTCTTAGATATGTTTAGCTATGTTTGAACAATTAACTGGTCCTCAAGCACTCCTCATCATGTTGTTGTTCTTCTTCTACGATCGACATGAAGCTTGGCATGCTTGTTCCTTGGACAATAACGCGTCGATTGACATAGACCCTACTTTTGATACGAAGTCACAATTTCAAGATGGCTGCGATGACGTCATACATAGTACTACGATGGTATTTGTTAATTGCCATGTTGTATATTGACGTTAAATATCAGATACAAATAAAATGAAATGGGGTTTAACATCCTACTTTCCTACATCAATCGGGCTAAAGAAGACTGTGCTATGGGGGACATTTTGCCAGAACAGCTGATTTTCTGCCTGCTCTTTTTTCGAATTTTTACGTGCACGCCAACATGTACACAAAACCTCGGATTTTCGTCCTATCTGAAAGACCAGACACTGTAGTGCACCGCTGTCAAGGGGAAACCGCGCCTAAAATTCCCTAGGAATTTCCTCCGTCATCACCACCATCAAACCCGGCCTTAGGCCTACTCACCGAGTCACCGCAAACCCCTTCTTCAAATAGAAGATTTATTGTCTCCCATCTAGTGTAGGCCAACATTTCAAATTTGTATTTGTTCATTTGTAGATCAAGTGTGAATTCCGTGCCAGTTTTGATATCAATTCGTTTTTAGGTGGCAATTCAACCAGTGATGACAAATTCATCGGAATCAAGGTAACACATTTGGGATACTCCTCTTTAAAGATCATTCATGAATGAGCTAAATCTGCCTTTTGCAGGGCTTTTTTCTGACTGCAAATGTTAAATAAACTTTTATCTATACATTTATTCAAATAACAAGCTCATAATTAAAGTAGCTAAGTCTATAACTCAATATCATCCAAAGTCTTCGACAATGAAAACACGAATTATTTGTCAATTTAAACCAAAATTGATGTTGTGATCTTACCGGGAAAAGATGAGCTTCTGATATCCAATATTTAAGACAAAAAAACCCCAAAACAAACGTTTTACCATCGGTACACGAATCGTGTACCATAATGCGTTTCATCGCCATTTGTAACAAGGGACTCGAAGAACGACGCTAGACATATTCCACGAGTCATGTCTAACGGTGACAATAAAATAAAACCAAGTACGAACAATCCAAACCATAAGACAGAATTCGAAGTCCTAAAAAACGTTATAGGCAAAATAGTGTATTCAAGCAAAATAGTGTAATCAGCAAATGGACTGCTCCTCGTGTACAAAATACACGACAAACAGTGGTAACAGGTGTCCGGAAGAGTAAGCTTACCCTGCCTGGCGCCACACCCGCCATAGCTGCATCCAAACTATTAGGCGAAATGTCGGTAAAATAGCGTGATTGGCCAATGAACTATCGGTATGCAAAATGCACGCGATGAACTGTGTTAACGATGTAGTAGACATTATCAGGGTGATAGTAATAGTATACGTGTCAATTAAATATATCTAGAATAAAAGCCGAGAGAGACACGTTATATTTACCAATCAAATCAATATGACGGCCATAAAACATATTCTTATTTGAAGACTTGCGTGTTGATTTTTCAATAATTATTGATTTTGATGATTACTTATTTTGTTGATTACTGATTTTAATTATGATTATTGAATTTTATTATAATTATTGATTTTTTGATCATTGATTTTGATTATTAATTTTTAATAATCAGATTATTGATTTTGATGATCTGTTTTTCTTCAGGTATTGACTAAGACCGTTAATATTAAACAAGGAGAAGAAGGTGTTATACAGATCCAGGCTACAGCACCTATTGGTTGTCAGACTGGTGGATGTAGCTATCCTCTATATACTTATATAGAACAGAATGGATTTGGCTGTTCTCTAAAAACATCACCCACAGAATCATGTGGCGTCAATATACCAGCCGCTAGCTACAGTGATGTTTATGAAGTCAAGGTGAAAGGGGGGATAACCTATCAATACGGCCGTGGAATTTCAACATCGATCCTCAAGCTACGTGCACCGGAAGTATTCGCTGATCATCCTATCTGGTCTAATTATGTCCTGGATGACGTCACGGTAAGTCATTGTAACTTTTTACTCAACATCGACCAGACAATTATTAATTTATGGCGGGGACAAATTGACGGCGCGTTATCATGGTTCATCCACTCCCAGTAGGCCGTGCATATCATATTGGATGGGCTGGCCCATTTGGTCGACCGCGGTCATCTCGGGCTTGTGGTCGCGGTTTTGATACCCTGTGTGAGCGTGGGTCGAGCCTTGTCAACCTCGTGTGTTTATTTTGTGTACTTGTGTGTTTAACCTGTGTACTTCGGTTTTCTCACACAGACAGAACACATATTTGCACATGCGCCGACTATAAAGGATTGCGATGTCACCTTCGGTGGAATCGGACGTTAAACCCGGTGAACAATAAACACCAACACATTCATTATATGATAGACGGTGGTATTGAAGGCCCAATCTCTTAGAGAAGTAATTTAGCGACCTAAAGTCTAAACATGACATATTATTTGTTGTTCTTTTCTCGCTAAAGGTGAATATTGAACAGAACACGGCCTTGATTGAAGGCTCGAAATGTGCAGCCTTCGTTGATCCTCGAATTGTGACCTTTGATAGAGGGTAAGTTATAACAATATTAGATAGAGGTCATCATTAATTACAAAATTTTAAAGATGACATTTTGATAGAGTCTGATAGACGATAGTTACTAATTACAGAGCACGATAGACACTAGTTACTAATAACAAAGTAAGACGATCGTTACTAATTACAGAGTGTGACGATCGTTACTAATTACAGAGTCTGACGATAGTTACTAATTACAGAGCATGGTAAACAATAGTTACTAATTACAGAGCCTGACGATAGTTACTAATTACAGAACCTGAAGATAGTTGCTAATTACATATTTTGATAGGAGGCATTTACTAATACAGAGTTTGATAGACAGAAATGAAATGAAATGGGGTTTAACGTCCTACTGTTCTGCTCCTAAACTGTTCTAATGAAGACGGGCATACGCCATACAGTGTGCTATAAGGGAAATTTTGCCCGGGCAGCGGCACTACGGCCTACTCTTATATCGAATTCCAACTGCCAAGGGATCTTTTACGTGCACGCCAATGTGTACACGGGACCTCGGTTTTTCGTCCCATCCGAACGACTAGACAGCTGTCAGGCCCTCCGTCCTCCATCACTGACAAGGGAAAACCACGCTGGAAAATCTGGATGAACTTTCTCGGCCAATGCAGGGATCGAACACCCGACTTCCAGGCTAGCGAGCCAGCGTCTTACCCACTTAGCCACGTGATCTCCCTGTTTGATAGACGATAGTTACTAATTACATATTCTTATAGATGATAGTTACTAATTACAGATTTTGATAGGAGGCATTTACTTATTACCGAGTTTGGTAAACGATATTTAATATTTACAGAGTTTTATAGACAATAGTTTATAATTTACAGACACCGGGGATAAGTACTAATTACAGAATCTGACGATAGTTACTAATTACAGAGTATGACGATAGTTAATAATTACAGAGTCTGACGATAGTTACTAATTACCTAGTCTGATAGATGTTAATTACTGATGGGCTACGTTTAACGCTAACTTTTGTTTACAGCATTTGGTTATTTGTTTACTAACTGAGGAGAGGGTAACGATTAACCAGTACATTTAATAGAGAGATATTATAGATTTATTACTAATATAATATTTAAATGGCCACAAAATGTTAATTATAAGGCAACGGGTCAATTTTTAATATGAATAACAGGAATTTGTTGATTGTAACTTTGTTTTTCCGTTGGTTTATAGTACCGTCTTGTAATTGATATGTAATTGATAACTATGCAGTAAATATCTGTTTGTGTTGCGTTTGTTTTGATTGATATCGTGTTTGTCATCAATTTCAGATTACTAGATTTACAAGTTATGGGAACTTACACTCTATATAAGCGTGGGGATCAAGAGGTAGGGCACAGTCTTTCACTCCCTAACATTGAAGAATACAATTAAAACCCCTCCAACTGTTTTGAATTCAGATGTATTCAAACATAGTTGTATATATTATAGATTTAGATCAAGGCGTATCAATGTGATGTTGGCTGTAATGAATGGCGTGTATGTGGTGTATTAACACGTGGTTATGTTGATCGTAATGCATGGTGTGAATGTGGTGTATTAACACGTGGTTATGGGATCTTAATGCATGGTGTATGTGCTGTATTAACACGTGGTTATGTTGATCGTAATGCATGGTGTGTATTGGTCTATATATTAACACGTGGTTATGTTGACCGTAATGCATAACGTGTATGTATATATATGTTATGTTGACGGTATGCCGTGTATGTGTATATATTAACACGTTGTTTTAATTATATTTTAGATTCAGATCCAGACGTATCAATGTGATGCTGATCTTAGTGCATGGTGTGTATGTGGTGTAGCTATACGTGCTGGTCGAGATGTTTATCTCATGAACAAATGTGGACTGGAATTCCATGACCTCAGATACTCATACTGTGAAGAGACTTCCAGTGATGTGCTCAAAGTTGAAAAATTTGAAACCTTGTATCAGGTATTTGTATATTTCCATCGAATATTTTATATTAACAAGCCAACAGTGAGGCTGGTGTTCCCAGCCGGAATCCCAAAATGAATATAAAGAGAGGGAGAGGGGGGAAGAAATGAGGTTTAATGTCCGCTCGACACAAACTAGGTCATTTCGGGACTAACATATGGTTCAATTTTATTTCAATAATTCGCTTGCGCGTAGGGGCATTTAGCAGTGACAGGAAACGGAGCACCCGGAGGTTGGACAGGCGACCCTACTCCTTGTCACGTACATCAGGTGAATCGAAACCACGCCAGTTGACTCAATGACAAATCTTATGATACAACGTGCATGTGCTAACCATTCGGTCATCCAACTCCTAAAAATGAATAGATGGCACATATTAATTAATTGGACAGGCGAATTTAGTGATTGGATTTTGGACCTAGCCTCGATCATCGTTACTGAAGTCGGTACGGTAAAAACATAGTCTCGATTATCTACTTTTTGATTTAATCATCAATGAGCGTTAAGGAGCAAATCGGGTTCTAATCCAGTAAATATCGCAGGCTAGCTATGACATCTAGAGTTGATTATGATCTGGATTAGTTAATTAATGTCTAATTAATAATTCAGATAACATTTCAGACCCAAAGAAAGACCTGCAATTGGCAGATTAAGCTCTTGCATAATGTATGTTTAATTAGAACCAAAGTTATCGTTTCCCAAAGTATCAACTAAGCAAAGTGCTTATCTGATTTTTATCTGTGCTTAGCCTGAGCAGAAAATGTTCATCTTCGACCTCCATCATTGCATTCACCTAATAAACACCTGCACCAACTTTAAAATGCTACCTTAAAGGCTAAATACCACTCTTGTTGTAACTGAATAATATATCCCAATCTTTATTCTGATCAACAAATTGTACCATTTTACAATATTCCAATTAATTGGTGATATAAATTTCATCTTAACACACCTGATTTAAAAAATTCTAAAAATTCAACTAAATGATTTGAAAAGCCTAACGTAAACCATTTCAAATGTGACTTGGATTTTAAAATATTTTCGAACCCTCTGGACAAGTAAAACAGACAGGGCCCAGACAAAACCCTCCCCGTCACGTACAATCTTGACATCAAAACCACGCCACTTGACTCAACGACAGACCTTATGATCTAACAAAATACAACATAAACACAGGCGCAGGTATACTGGTGGTATGACGATGTAAGGTAGATGGATTATAACATATTATTTCAAAGATAAACACTTGTTTCAAATTTGCATCAACGGGGATATTGAAGAAGGACTTGCTCCATGTAGTCTTTTAAGTGATAAGAAATTATTGCAAAATTTTTTCAGCATAAAAAATAAAAAAACCCAAAATATTAGCATTAGTAAATTTGTTAAGATACACAAAACATGATAGACTGTTTGAGAAAATATCCGAACGGGTATCGCCCCATTTAAAATTGTAAACCCTCTTGCCTGACCGTGGGTATTCATTTTACATCATATACGACTCGTTGAGAAAATATCCAAAACAATTTGTACTATATCGGGGGTTGGGTATCGTCTCATTAGACCCCATCTCCTCCCTGCCCAGCATCTGTATCCACCACTGTACCTGTTAGCCTAATTGATTTCTCTATAATTGCAGGTATATCTACCCACCGGTACACGAGTCAAGGTGTTTATGAGACCAGATAATATGAACGTATTTATTTATCCTTCTGTCATGGATATTGGTGTATCACGTGGTTTGTGTGGTAATTTGTCTGGTAACTCTAAAGATGATCTCATTCTTAGAAATGGAGTCCAATCTGTGGAAACAGTCTCGCGTGCCAGATTTGAACCCGCTCCTGCTTTCTTCAACTCATGGAGGTATGTCATACCTTGTTATTAAATATTCAATGATTTTGTCGAAAATGGAGTTTAACGTCCTACTATTTTGCACCATCTGGGATAATGAAGACGGGAAATTTTCCCTGCACGACAATTGAATTCCAATTGTCAAGTTTTTTTTAGCGTGAACTACAAAGTGTCCACGGGACCAGGGTTATTTGTGTCATCCGAACGATTATACACGTTTCTGTAGCGCTATAGAAGACAGTTTATTATTATTATTCGAGGTCGCGGTGGCTCAGTGAGTGAGACACTGGCTCGTTATCCAGGATGTCTCGGATTCGTTCCCGGAATAGGTCGAGAAAATTCCACAGGTGCAGGACGGAGGGCAAGGAGAGTATCTAGCCGTTCGGATGGGCCAAAACCGAGGTCCACTGCACACTGTGGTGTGCAGGTAAAAGACCCCTTGACCGCTGGAATTCGAAATTAGAGCAAACTTTAGAGCCACTGTCCCAGCAAAATACCCCTCATTCAAAGTACACTTTATGGCATATGCACATCTCATTAGCCCAGCAGACAGAACAGAAAGTGGGGGGGAGGACGTTAAATCCTATTTCATTTCATATTATTATTATTATTATTATTTTGAATGTGTCTTGAGGTGAAAGTTGATTATTATTGTTATTATTTATATTATTATTATTATCTTTATATTTATATTCAGTGTGGCTTCAGGTGATAGTTTATAATTATTATTACTATTTCAGTGTGTTTTCAGGTGATAGTTTATCATTATTATTACTATGTCAGTGTGTCTTCAGGTGATAGTTTATCATTATTATTACTATTTCAGTACATCTACGGATGATAGTTTATTATTATTATTACTATTTTAGCGTCTCAGCAGGTGACAGTTTATTCGCAGAGAACTATGGCAGTCTGACTGGTTACACGGGAGGAGCGTTCGCCTATAATCCCGACTCTTACCAATGTCAACCACTAACTACCCCCGTGACAGGACAAACTGGTCCTGTCAGTAGTACAGCTTGTAATCTATTCTCTAACGTTAACCGGGTTGTCAGGGACGAACTGTATATTCCCGTCGAGAAAAGGAATTGCGGGTCTGGTGGTAGTGCGCGAAAAAAGAGATCGGCACCAATTTATACTGGCGAGGAGAATAGTGAAAAGATAACGTTGTCCAGGCGTAAACGGGTAAGTTTTGTACTTTGAGAAGACTCAAGTTTTGTCAGCCTCGGATCCAAGAATATCCAAGCGTGTTTGTGTGGTATTATTTTGATTGTTCTTAAATTGGCGGAGGTTGAGGCTTTTTTAATAGGCATCGCCCCCAAAAGCAACACGGAATGAAAATGAAATGAAATGGGGTTTAAGGTCCCACTGTTATGCTCCTACTGGACTTATGAAGACGGACATTCGCCATGTAGTGTGCTAGGATGGAAATATTGCCCGTGCAACGACGCTACTGCCTACTTTTATTTCGAATTCCAACTGTCACGGGTTCTTTTAGGTGCACACCAATGTGCACACGGGACCCCGGCTTTTCGTCCCATGCGAACGACTTTAAGTTGTCCTTTCCCATGCCCTCTGCCCTGCACCAATGTCAAGGGCGAACCACGCAAGGAAATCCCGCTGAATTTTCTCGACCAACCCCGGGACCGAACACGGAGCCTACATGTTCGTGAGCCAATGTCTTACTCGCCGAGCCACCGCGGCTCCCTACAGACAGAACCATGTGTTTTACTTATTATTGTTTTCTTCTTCTTCCTGCAGAATGTGGAGTGGAAGAATGGCTGGACACTCGAATCTACTGAGAAATATTGTAATGAGCTGTTTAATACGTCGTCTATGGTGTCCCTATGTAAAGATCTTTCATTGGTTGATGTATATAGTGCTAAGGTTGCATGTATCATGGATATTCAGGTATTAGCACATCCGTTCTAATTATAACCATACCGACAATATATTCACTGTGTATACAACATTACACTAACCATAAAGCCGATATATCTATCTCTCGACATGATTATAATTCAATCGCCGTGGATTTTAAAGACAGGGTGGTGTTGGGTTCACAGACAGTATACGTCAGAACAGTTTAACTTTCTATGGCCTACACTATATGAAGATCTGACAAGTTGTACTCGGAGATCGTGTCAGTGGTCGTACGAGCGGCTTTTGACCCTATGACTTCAGAAATTGATTAATCAATCAGCGTTGGCGTTTACCCACAGATCGGTGCATGACACGCCATGAAGTCGCCGTAACAGACTGTTTCATTGGCTTATCCCTCATTTTAACCAAAACGCAGATAATATAACAACTCTTCCAGATCCTAGTGTAGTAAAGACAAGTAAAACGAAATTTTGAACTATAAAAATCAGATTGATTGATGGTCTACATGTATCTTAGTCGACATATAAGTGATCATGAACATAAAAATGAATAAGCTGTGTCCATGCACATGCCATCGTTTACCTTCAAAGGACGGTCGATAATTTATTTGGAAGTAGTAAAGACAAACTATTCAAACACGTGTGTTGCTGTTGCTAAGATACAAACATTTATAGTTAATGTAAGCATGCGCAGTGGGCACGTACAGCTGGAGCCCGGATCCATTCATTTGATTTTATTATTGTTTATTGTTTCCATATTTCTGAAGCAATGGATCGAGAAATCCCCGGCCATTGTTGGATTGACTTCTGACACTTGGGCTTTTGCGGGAGCGTGTTAAACAGCAACATGACAGCCCTTAGTTTAATCTCGGGTCTTCCCTGAAACTTTGGACAATGTTTTAAGGTATTCAAACCGTGAAAGTATTGTTCGTCTCCAAACAGTATTGGTTACATTGTATCTGTTTTGATAGCCTCGTTTGTCACGCAATTAGTTTTTCTGCAATATTCTGCTATGCACTGGTTAATAGGCGTAAATTTCGTGAGGCATGACGTAACGTTATGTAAATATATTTGGTCCAATTTGGAACGCTGTTTAAAGCCTAATGAAATTGTTGCGCAGTTAGCTTTTGGCTGTTAATCGGACTATTGACCAGTCATAATTTTGAACAGAAATTTGCTTCCATTACAGCAGTGTTAAGTGGGATTTGGTCTAATCATAGGAAACACTGCGAGGAGTATGATTGTTTGGGGTGTCTGTGTCTATTGTGTCCTGTCCTTTTATGTCAGTAGTTTCCAACCTCTTGTTGGTTGCGACCCTATTTCAGAAACCACCATCTGTTCTCGACCCCTTGAAGAACAAAGTCACCTTTTACTATGAAACATCATCATTATTTATAGATCCAAAGGTTGTAATGAGAGACTGAGGAAACAAATCGTAAGCGTGAGAGAGGAAAGACGATTGGCAGTGTGACATGAGGTGTAGAGATCAGAGATTTATATGCGTTTCATGAAAACACCATTTTTAAAAAAAACTTTCAGAATAGTCCACCACGACCCGACGAAAGGTGTTCTGAGATCCCAGGAATTATGCGTTGTGTGCCCAAACCCCCGCAATTACAATTACAATTACAATTATGGTTGGTTTATAATGGATGTAGTATATTTAGTATACGGTATTTGCATATGCTATTTTTGAAACTCTGATGGTACCCTCTTACATGTTTTTCAGTTAACTGGCAACAACACGTTCTCTCTAGCTGCCATGAGCAGTATCAGAAGTCAGTGTGTCCATGAACTCAACTCTAATGAAACGTTCTTTGTTCCTGCTATCCCGGGTCAACCACCTATTTATGACCTCATCTCTGCTGTCACGTGTCCAGGAGAATGTACTCAGCAAGGTTCCTGTATTGATGGTAAATAACAAATACTTGAATAAGTTTGAAGACGGAAATATTTCAGTATGAATGTTGATGCCTTGTGTTGGTCAGTTTTGTTGTTAACAGTGATGCTTGTTTTAAAATAATATACGAGGTGTACGGGATAATGAAAAACACAACACAATTTGTACACACTTTTTGTCGACAGGTGTTCTCCTTATCGTTATCAAGAAGACAAAAAAGAAAATAATAAAGAAGGCAGGCATACCCCATATAGTGTGCTATCAACAGAATTTTGAGTTTTCTGCTTTGTCTTCATCGAATTCCCAATGTCATGGGTTCTTTTAAGTGCACGCCAGTGTGTTCACGCGACCTCGGGTCTTTCGTCCCATATAGACGATTTGGTGATCGTCCATGCCATCCTCTCTGTCCTGCACCGCTGACCAGGGGAACAACATCATTGGTGTTAATCTTGTGGTCGACACCAGGATCCAATCCGGTTTTTCCTGGTTAGTGAGCCAGTGCCTTACGCACTGAGCTAGCGCGGTCCCGTTACTAATCAATATTCCTGTGCTGCGCCAGTCATTCGCTCATCCGTTATTGAAATAATTTGTATGATATTGCGCTATCATTGATCTATCAAAATATTATAACAGTCAGCTTACTCAGTCACGGTATCAGAAATGAAATGGGGTTTAACGTCCTACTGTTCTGCTCCGATGGGACTAAGGAAGACGGGCATACGCCATTCAGTGTGCTATGAGGGAAAATTTGTCTGGCCAGCGGTACTATGGCCTAGTCTTATATCGAATTCCAACTGCCAAAAGGGGATCTTTTAATGCACGCCAATATATATAAGTTCCCTCGGTTTTTCGCAGCATCCGAACTACTAGACAGCTGTCCTTGTCAAGCCCTCCGTCCTGCACCACTGATAAGGGGAAACCACCCCGGAAAATCACGATGAAGGTATAAGGCAAAGTCGACTAACATAATCACAGTACCAGGAAAAGTCGGCTAATATAGTCATGGTATCACTCAAAGTCGGCTAACACAGTCACGGTATCAAGTAAAGTCGGTAACACAGTCACGGTATCAAGCAAAGTCGGCTAACATAGTCACGGTATCAGACTTAAGTCCAGATATTTTTCGATGTGACGTCTCGCTATTTGTTTTCTCAAAACCACTTTTGTGAAGATCACATTATTTCAATTATGTAAATATTTTCCAGGTATTTGTGAGTGTTATGGAGGATTTGGTGGTGTTGACTGTTCGGTTGATATTCGTACCAAACCGCTACTGGTCAAACTCCACAATGGTGGCCATTGTGATTTAAAGGGAGACAATTGTACGGAAGTAACAGCTTTTGGTGAAACTTTTGTTCAAACACCCAAAACCAGTTGTAAAGCCACATATTTTGAGGTAAAGTATACTCAAATAAAACGAAATGGGGTTTAACGTCTTACTTGTATACGCCAACCGGGTTAATGAAGACCGGTGTGCGCTATGCAGTGGGCTACGACCTATTCCAACTGCCAGGGGTTCTTTTACGTGTATGCCACCGTGTAAACAGAACATAGGTTTGTTCTATCACCCGTAAGACTGGACGCTAATCCTTGACAGGCCCTCCATTCCACAAAACTGATAATCCGAAGGAGGGAGAAAGAGCTAGAAATGGGGTTTAACGTCCACTCGACATAAACTAGGTCATTTCGGGACTAACATATGGTTTAATTTATTTCAATAATTCGCTTGTGCGTAGGTGTCTTTAGCAGTGGGAGGAAACCGGAGGACCCAGAGAAAACCCACGAGGTTGGACAGGCAACCCTACTCCTTGTCACGTACAACCGGGGATTAGAAACCACGCTAGTTGACTCAATGACAGGCCTTATGATACAGCACGCACGTGCTAACCATTCGAACATTCAACCCCCCATAATCCGAATGAACCTGCTAAGCCAACACCGGGATCGTACCCGGACCCCCTGGTTAGTGAGCTAGCATCAGACTCACTGACCCACCCAAAATAAAACGGAATACATAAGTCGAAAAATAAATGAAAGGTAATGTTTGTATAAATGAAACGAAATGTTTGTATAAATGAAACGAAATGTTTGTATAAATGAAACGAAATGTTTGTATAAATGGAACGAAATGTTTAAACTGCTAGTTGTGTTGTTGTATTACAGAAAAGAGAAACGGGTGAAATGGAAATATCAGTGGGCGTGGCTACCGCACCGTACCTAGAGAGTATCAGCGAAGCTGTTTGTCAAGTACCGGAGCGACCAGCTCTATCGTCTAAACCTAATCCCCACGAGTTTATCACTGGTTATTTGATCTCGTTCAGTAATGATGGTAGCACCTACAGTAAACCTAACTATATGGCCATATATAACTCAGATTGTCAACAATGTGATGTCACATCTGATGGTGTAAATTGTACTTTCAAGGTAATCTGTTCACATTAACAGGATTTATGACAGCTCTAGGTCGTTATTGACGGGGTTTATTAGTCTTAGATCGTTATTGACAGGATTTATTAAGTCTTAGGCCGTTATTGACAGGGTTTATTAAAGTATTAGGTCGTTATAGACAAGGATTATTTAAATCCATGATCTTATTCGAAAACACATTACAAATATTCATTCAGTTTCCATTTAATAAAATTGAAAATGTTTATGTAATCTGTGGTGTGAAAGATTTAGAACTACATTACAAAAAGATAATTTTTGAATAAGGTGGCCATACACGGCAGAGATCTATTCCTAAAGTATGCAGATCTCTGTGTACAGAATGGAACACACAACTCACATTAATTTATGTATTGCCCAATGAAACATGTTTTAATTTTATTATTATTTTATTTGATTAGACACCTTCATGCATATCTGGTGGCCAGTGTTATAGTGATGGAGCTGAATATCAACACAATTCATGCTATACTTGTGCAGCTAACATCACCCACCGAGCATGGGTGCGCAAAGATCGTAAGTACAACGTCATAGATTCAATGTTGTCGTCTAAAATGTCTTTTGAACTGTTTCATAGAGCAATAATAATATACCCCAGTTGGTATAAACTTTTTACACAACATGGTAATAAACGATAGATTTCGATGAATTATCATGACCTCATCACATTCTCTCTGAGGACCGTTTGACGTCAATAACGGTTTGGCCTGTGAAATTTCAGAATGACTAATAAGACAAGGTCTTCTGGAAGGTGTAACAAACCTCACAGCGCGTACTAGCCTGGCATCGAAACCCAAACACATGCTAACCTTATAATCTGAAACACATGCGTTAGATCAAAGTCTACCTCCGCTCTCCACGCTCTTTGTATAATGACGACTCAGAAGTGGTTTAAGGAAGCAACATAATAACAATCCTATCGGGGCATTTAGTGACAATAAAGAGCAATAAACTATAACGCATACGTATTTATTTTGGCGACGTTTCGAAGAGTATTCTCTCAACATTAGCAATCTAATAATAAAAATAAAATGTTAGACAAATATATTATACAGAAAAAATTATAACAACAAAACTGAAACGATACATAACAATTAAACATGCATTATACAAGAGCTAAATCTACCTATTGCAGGTCTTTCTTTGGGTCTGAAATGTAATCTAAATTATTAGACATGAATTAACTGATCCAGGCCATAATTAACTATCGATGCCATCGTTAGCCTACGATCCTTAGTGGATTTGAATACATTTTGTGATGGAGAAGTTAACGTATAAATGGATAATCCAGACTTTGTTAATTATACAACCAACGTTAGTAATGATGATCGGGCTAGCCGAAAATTCAATCGGTTATATCTTGGTTCAGAGTGAAGCAATTTGGCTGACATTTTCAGCATTTTCTGTTTTCATTATCTATGTTTTAACTATTATAGCGAGAACTACCAGCTCTTTATCTAATCTTAGCTAATGCCCCTTTAACTCGTAGTATATCCAATTAAATGTTATTAATTCAGGAAAAGAAAAATAATTACTGACAAATTGATTGATTTTGTTAATTGTAGTTGAAGAATGTGAAGAGGAAGAAGAGGAGTCCATGTTGTGGGTTATTGGAGCTGTAGCTGGTGTTCTTATATCTGTCGCTTTAATGGCGGTTATTATATATCTCATCAAAAGGTAAGTAGAAATACGATTTTGAGCATGTATTTTATGGGTGGATTATAGCGCATTATAAACATATTATTATTATTTTTAAAATACAGAAATATAAAGAAAACACCCCATTTTTAAAGTAAGGCAATAAACCCATATAGGGAACAAACCCCTATTTTAGAAATATAAGGCAATAACCCATAATATAAGGAAGCCATTGTCTGCGATATCACCTCGGTGGAAGCGGACGTAAAATACAACTAACTCTCACACACACAATATAAGGCAATTAACCCATATAAGGGAATAAACCAATATTTTAGAAATATAAGGGAATAAACCCATATTTTAGAAATATAAGGCAATCAACCCATATTTTAGAAGTATAAGGCAGTGAACCCGTACTTTAGAAATATAAGGCAATAAACCCATGTTTTAGAAATATAAGGCATTAAAACCCATATATTAGATATATAAGGCAATAAACCCGTAATATGTTTTGTATTTGCCTTACAGAAAGAACAAGATTTCAGCATCAAGAACATTACTTGATCCAGAAGGAAAGTCAGCCGGGAATTACAAAAAAACAGACGCTTTTGAACACAAAACAGCTATTTAAATGTATTATTTAATAAGTAGTCTAATTAGTCGTGTATTTTAATTTGTGTGTTTTATTCCGCAAGTGCCATGAAAACTATATATCTTCAATCCTATCCTTCCACTCGTTCGCCTACCGTTAGTGGTCAGTTGGTCACTATAGCATGTGATGTGTTTCAATCTTTGTGTTTTATTCCGCAAGTGCCATAACAATGTATATTTTCCATATTGTGCTTTTTACTCGTCGATCACGTATATTTAACCCCTTCTCTTAAAGTTGCATTATGTAATATTGAGCTGGTCGTACTTGCTATAAAAGTTTAAAAAGAGATAATGAAAAATCAATATATTGTAAATGTCAATCCAATTACTTTATTTTGAATAAGTTGTGATTGTTAAGTACCACTCCTACGATAATAAACAAATTCTCACTTATCCATTTTTACCGTAAATTATCAAATGGCGCAGGAGTTCTAATCCATTCAATATCCAGGCCATCAAATGAGCTGAGTTGAGTATTGGCTTGTCGTGTGAAGAAATGTCTAATTAATAATTTTATGACATTTGAAGCCTTAAAAAGAACCTGCAATAGGCAAATTTAACTCTTACATAATGCACCTTTAAGCTCAATATCAATTTTGCACCTATTCAAAAACACAAATTTTAATGTGTAGCCTACCCAGCTCGCCGACGAGGTTTTTTATTACGTCCCCTTTTATATACACATTTAAAATACCCCTGCTTTGTAGTATTTTTTTTATCCCAACCTGTGTAAATAATATTAGTATTCAACTAGTGAATTTATAATATTTAATTCATTGAATGTGTTCATAAATAGTCTAGATTTAATTTGACTTTTTACAAACTGCAGCTGTTAAGATTTTAAATTTAAACCCTGAATATTTTTTTTTTTTGAAAAAAAGATTAAAAACAACCCCACAATTTCATTTTATTAATTTTTTAAAAAAAACCCCCAACCTTTCTATGTAGGCCTATGTAAAAAATGTTAACAAAATTCAATTCGGAAATAGACAACAGACCCGCTTTATGAATTTGTATTTTTTTTTTACCCGGTTTCTAAATATTGGTTTAATGCCATAAAACCACTACAGATTTATCACTCGCATCTAGCTTTTGTTTTATAAACTGCTAATAAAAAATAAGTTTAGTTATTCTCGTGTTTTGTTTTATTGAATTTGAAATGAAATAGGGTTTAACGACCTACTGTTCTGCACCGACTAGGCTAATGAAGGCGAGCATACGCCATACAGTATTGCTATGAGGAAAGTTTTGCCCGGCCAGCAGCACCAAGACTTAGGCCTACTCTTGTATCCAATTCTGACTGTTAAGAGGTTTTTTTTTACGTGCCCGCCCTGCACCACAGACAAGAGGGATGTTTCTCGATCAACACCGCGATCGAACAAGGGGCCAGAAATGAGGTTTAACGTCCACTCAACACGGACTAGATCATGGTTCAATTTTAACTTTTCAATAATTCGCTTGCGCTTAGTGGTCTTTAGCATTGTTGGGAGGAAACCGGAGGACCTGGAGAAAACCCACGAGGTTGGACAGGCGATCCCTACCCCTTGTGACGCATAACACATTGAAAGACCTTATGATACAATGCGCACGCGTTAATCATTCGCCCCCACCCCCCGCCCTCCAGGTTATTCACTTAGTGAACCAAAGTCTCCGCGGCTTCCTTATCGAATTTGAAGATTAGAAATGAATGAAATAGAACTATTGCATACGGCAAAAAATTAATAATAAGGCTATTGGCATAGGTATTTAAAGGTAATTCCATCTTTCACAGTGTGGTGCGCACAATTTGATAGACAAGAGTAGCCTACCCCACGAACGCCTTGACAACGAATGCAGAAGTCACCAAGAGTTAGCCCCCTTTCTATTATTATTAGACGTCATTGCCATTGTTAGCTCGAGAGCAAACGATACGGCACGACTTTAAGTTTATTAAAGAAATTATACTTATAATACAAATAGAAGCCTTGAAAATCTAAATAAGTCTTTGGTTGACTTCATATTTGAGGTAAGTATTTATTTTTGCTATCATTGTTTAAGTGGATGATTTATTAGACGTCCAGGTATAAGCACAGTTGAAATCAGGCCTAACTTGGGGATAGCTTAAGTCCACTTTTCCCCGATACTTGCACCGAAAAGGAAAACGATGGCCCTGACCTTAACATAAAAGGTTTCATTAATCATTTGATCCAAAGTGTCCATAATAAACCCACGAGGACTGAATTTGAAACTTTATTCCGAAACGTAACGTCCCGTTAGGCCTACTGTCAGTGAGTGATAAAAAAAGATCGTGTGGACCGGAACTTGGAACTGGAGTGGAAGGCCTAGTTTAGTACTGGGTCTTGGCCGACTTTGGAAACGATCTTGAGTCTGATCTACAGTTACATTGAATGGACTTCTTTTCTTTTCATTTGAGAAGATATTTACAGCCAGTAACGCTTACGGCTGACAGAAGAATCCATTCATTTTATTTGATTATTTGTTGTTTATATTAAATTATATTTATTGATTGCAATTTCTATATCGGTTGTGTCTTGTCGCAGCTTTGTTATTTTGTATCGGTTTTGTTTGAGTGCCGTGTAGTCTTCCTTCCCCCCCCCCCCTGCACTTAGTGACTTACTCTCAAATCTATCGGAAAGGTCAGAAAGAGTCAGTGTGCGGACTAACACAGGCCTACCAATTGACTTGATACGGCGACTACAATTATTTTTTTTTTTTCAATACACTATTGACTAGACGGTGTAGACCAAAAGTACTACATGTACCTCCTCTTCCCACGGGAGACTTTTAGGCTACACTAATGACTAATCATTGATCAGCCTCCGGCTCTGTCGGGATCCCCCCCCCCCCCCCGTAGTCCTTCCTAATGTCTACTATTAATTTAAATATATGCTTTCAGTATGAGCGAGAAAAACAAAAATAATATTCACAGAAATAATTTATGGGATTGTAAATTCAAACCACTTGATGTATTAACTGAGAACGACGAGACACTTTCTTCTCCACCACCAGAATTTACAGGTAGGCCTATCTTAATTTAGCTCCCGTGTATTTGTTTTTGTGTAAATTTTGTGTGGTGCAGTCCCCCCTGCACTTACTATTAGAGAAACGGGTTTAGTAACTGGTGAAGGGGGGATAACTGCATTTAATAAAAAAAATGGTGCTATTGATACCTAAACGAGTCAAACTGTAGAATCCAATGCAAGAATTCAACAAATCTATCAACAGTTATCGGTGGGTTTGTCATATGCGCGAATTTAATTTAAAAACAGGCTTTGTCCGAAATTGTCAGGACCTTAAAGGGACAATAACACTCTTGCTGGCTTGACAGCTCCAGAAAATAAAAAAATAGCCTTATTCTAAGTACTAGATGTGTTAGTGTCCTACCTGTTGTGTAACTTATCCATTATTAAATCCTATTTTACTTGTCCAAAGGGTTCAAAAATATTTTTAAATCCAAGTCACATTTGAAAAGCTTTACGTCAGGCTTTTCAAATCATTTGGTTGAATTTTTCCAATTTTTTAAATTAGGTGTGTTAAGATGAAATTTGTATCATCAATTAATTGGAATATTGTAAAATAGTACAATTTGTTGACCAGAATAAAGATTGGGACATATTATTCAGTTACAACAAGAGTGGTATTGAGCCTTTTAAAAATAAATCAAACAAATGAAATGATAGGGGGTTTAACGTCCAATTTTTGCACTAACCGTGATAGAGTATGAAATGTTGCAAATTTTGTACAGGCAGCTAGCTTTTCGTCTAACTTTCCATCAAATGCGATGTGGTCGTTATGTGCACACCGACGAATACACCGATGGACCTCTGTCGAACCCGTGACTTCTTGGAACTATAGTAAGACAGCAAATTACCCACTCTGTCACCGTTCCCCTTCCATAGATTTAAAAAAATTGATGCCAAGAAACTCGGCTAACAACCAAAAGGCTAGATGAATTATCCAATACTAAATACTATCAAATACCACATAGCCTTCTACATCATTATGAAAAACTAACACAGTGGTTGAATTATAGAAAAACATTTTTTTTGGGTTTAGTTCATGCGCGGACATTTATACGATAAATTAGAAAATTCTATTTATGGTATCAGTACCCGAAGGCCCCAACATCTTAAAAACTAGCCAAGTATTACTCAATTGTAACCCAGTACTACAAAATAAACGACATCTGTACACAGGTCGGCTTGCGAAATTCGCTATAAGCTTACAAAAGATACCTAATTAAGGAAATGCCTGAATATAAAACTGCTTTTACTCCTTTAAAATGGGCTTCAAACATTAAACTTAAAACAAAAAACATGTAGAAATACACAAGTAATTAATCTCTTGCTTTGATTAATGTTGAGTTACTCTTTAAACTTTCTATTAATTTAAATCGACATTATGCAACATACTTCCTTCAAGATTGTTTTTCATTCAATACATTTGTATTTGCCAAATGTTAATGTTTCACGAATATGGCCGTTCTTTCTAACACTGGTATATAGCTTTCTACAATGTTCTGAACGAAACTGGAGACGCGATGGCTTAGTGAGTAAGACGTTGGCTCACTAACCTGAAGGTCCCGTGTTCGATCCCTATGTTGGCTGAGAAAGTTCATCGGGATTTTCGGGCAAGATCCCCCTTGACAGTGGTGCAGGACGGAGGGCCTGACAAGGGACAAGGTATAGTCGTTTGGATGGGAAAAAAACAAAGGTCCCGTGTTCATATTGGTGTGCACGTAAAAGAAAAAATATTGAGATGGCATTGGACAAGAATGATTTTAACATAAGCTATATAATTCCACCAAGTTTCAGTTTTATTAGTTGTTTATCTACCAAGTTCAATCGGCTCTTAAATTAGTACAAACTATAATTCTACCAAATTTCAGATTTTTAGCTGCTGATCTACCGGGTTCAATCGACTCTAAAATACGATAATTGACATAGATTGACCCAAAACATAGATTTTTAAAAAATCGAAAAAATATCGAGATGGCATGGGACAAAAATGGCTTTATTATGTTGGTTGGAGCCATTAGTAGTACCGTACAGTACAAACTATAATTACACTAAGTTTCAGATTTTTAGGTTCTCATCTACCGGGTTCTTTCGGCTCTCAAATATGATGCAATTTTCGAAAATTTGTGTCTGGAACCATATTCGAGGCCAATTGTCTGGGAATGTGATGAAAACTGATGCGTTTTCATATGTTTCTTATGTAGTCCTACCGACAATCTCTGGATAGGCCAAAATTTGGGTCTATATCTATTACTTTGTAACTCCTGGAGCACTACAAAATCCAGAAAATATACAATTACACCATTTTTTTCGGTTTTTATGGCCAAGTAGCATGCGAACCCTACCACTCACCTGCGATCTGATTGCAGATTCGTAATCTACTCAAACAGTTTTATAAGGCTACTAAATTTGAGCTGTATATCTTCACTAGGAAGGGGGTAAAAACAAGATTTCTTAAACTCGAGTAACTCATGACACTCAAATGCCCGTATCCCAGTCAATTTTCAAGCTACAGACCACAAATTTTGCACAGTTTCTATTTTTACATGTACAATAACACATATTTTTTCTAGATTTTTTCGAGGGGGTCGATTTCCCAAATATCTGAAAATGCATCTTAATAGTTACATACTGTATTTTTAACATCAGAAGATGACTTTTTAATTTTACGATTCGTTTTCTCTTTTCCAGAAAATGATTTCTTTCAATCTGAAGAATGGATGAACGATTCTGGCATTGATTTTATTCTCGATCACGGTGAGTTAAGCCTCGTCCAATTATTATTAAAACAATTATTTAGAAAGTAAAGTTTTAGCTGGGATTTTTGTCCCACCCGAACGACTATAGAAAACATAAGGCTTGTTGCGCATTGACCTTCAAACTGACACTCACTAAGCACAGTCACGAGGCTGCGGTAATGGTAATGGAATGTAATCATTACATTTTTTAAGTAATGGCAAGCACTGGGCAAAAATGTCGGGGTATCAGTAACTGGCAACCCGACTGTTCATTGTCTGCTAGCTGAGCGTTTTTCTGGGGCGCCTGTTATCCTTGTCGAATGGTTAGGTGTTTTGGGGGAGGGGGAACAGTGACGGGTTAAAACTACAAAAAAC